AACTTCTTTCTTGCTTTTTTTCTTACAAATTGTTTTATTCAATTGTCCTTGTCAAGTTTTTTGCTGTTTGTAATTAGTTGCTGATTACTGTGTTAATTTAATTTTATGGTGGTATCGAGATTTTGAGGCTCTTATAATTGTACAACGTGTTTAAAATATTCCGAGGTAATAAACCGATGAAAAGTAAAATCTCCATTTAGATTTTTTTTATGGCATAAGCCGGTAAACTATCAGACGGATCAACTGTTGGTAAGCAATCGGCGTCGCCCATGGACACCTGGAACATCAGAGGCGTTACAAGTGCGTTACCGGCTTTTGGGGATTAGGAGTTTGAGGATCGTTGGGGATTCAAGGATTGGGGAGATTGGGGAAGGGGAGGGTATTTGGGCCTCCGGTAACCTCACTCAAACGAAGATATAGAGAAAAATTATGTTTTTATGACTTGTAGCAAATGTGAGACGAATATTTTGCATCAGTAATCGAAATTGTATCATTTTCTGTCGTAGCAAATTTGCTTCATAGAGAGTCGTGAGTTCGTATCAAGCACCGAACCACTTTTTACATATTTCACAAATTATAACACCAAACCAAATTTGTGATGGGTATGTAACAATTTACGTTTGTAATCGCAACCATAACACAAAAGAAATCCTCAGGAAGATACCACGGTTAAAAATGATGTTAAACTAATTTGATGTAGAGATTTTAATTGATAAAACTGATATATTATATATGTACTACACACACCTAAAATAAAATGACTTTCGCACAAACACACCTCAGTTTCACATAAAAGTGACATCTCGACTCGAGTAGGCGACCATCAAAATAGAATAAAATGTGAACAAAAAAGTTTAATATTAGCTGAGAGACCTCTGTCCCCGTCAGGTGCTCGAAATTGCGTAACTTGTTCTATCGACAAGCCTGTCAAGCTTATATTTAATTTCCTGCCCCAACATTCGGAAATTTTCGGATTATTGCCAGGATGACGGATCTTCACTTGTTTTTTATATATATGTAGCTATAGGGTGTTTATTTCACTTGATTTATGTCAGCTGGATGAAATTGAGGGATTATTTTTCAAAGTGAATTAGATATTTATACAGGTTAGTCGTGTTTCTGACTGTATGTTGGAAATAATTTTCTGTAACACTATCTATCTTTAGTTCCTAAAAGGATTTTTTTCAGAATAGCTTTAAAAATCAGTTGATCTAATATAAAACTGTAAAATGTAAAACGGGGTGGATAGGGTTTAAGCGGCGAAAAGAGACAGAAGAGGGGTTAATAGATATAAGAAAATTCTTCATAGTATCGATTCACCCCTTTTCTGTACCTATTCACCTTGCATTCCTTATTCACCCAATTTTAGGGTACGTAGACAAAAAGCTGAAATTGTTTTTGCAATAATAACTAACGACCTGATTCATTATGATATATGGATGTGCTGCAACAACCTAAGTCTACATGTCATTGAAACAATTAGCAGTTAATCAGCTGCTTCCCTAATAAGGCCGTGGTGGTTGCAGCTGTTTATACTGTGGCATAAGCCAGAGCCAGGTCACTTAGTATCTTGTATCCAACCTACCGGTTGTAGGCACATTTCAAATCAAATCAAATCAAATCAAATCACTTTTATTTGTTAACATAGGTGCATACAGATATAGGTCTTATATATGGTAATAAAAAAGAGCGCTATGCTATACCCGGAGGCGTACAAATTGTGGTGAGCACTAGGCTTAAGTTTTATTAAAACAGAGAAGTATGTGTATTGAGGGAAAACATGAACAATGATGATATACTAATTTAACAATCAATTACAACAATAAGTAAATAAACAATATGTACTTTGATCGAATTACATCTAGATTAAGGTATTATTCCTGATATTCATTAGAAATGTCAAAAAGAAAATAATAGTAGGTAGTATTAAAACAATATGTATTGCAAATATTTAAAAATGTCACTTAGGTCAAAATAGGTCAATAAATTAAAATGTCTAAATGTATTAAATGTCAATACCAAAAATTAATTTTGAATAAAATTATTTCAGTTATTCAAGTAAGTACAAATAATGTGATAATAATACAACATAAATAGACAACATATAGTAGTCAAAGTTTCGCAATTGCAGGTTAATAATAATTTATTAATAATTCAGTCATAATGTGGTCACCCAAAAAATATCGATATTGCAGGTCAATAATTGTGGTCATTTAAAAATTCCGTTAAGTTATAAAAACATTTGGCTATAAGATATTTTTTTAAATGTATTTTAAACAGAGCAGTGGGCAATTGTTTAATAGGTTTAGGGAGTTTATTATATATTATTGGAGCCAAATAAAAAATACTTTTTCGCATTAACGCCGTTGTTGATCTAGGTATGCACAGTCTATTGTTATCCCGCCGATTACGTATACAGATATCTGTTATCTTCTCGTACAAGTTGAGATTACTCTTCACAAAAATAGCTACCTCATAAATGAACAAGGAAGGGAGACTTAAAATATTATATTTAATGAAATATTGTTTGCAACTATCAGTTATTTTTAGGCCGAACATAGCTCTGATACATCTTTTTTGAGCCTTGAAGATAGTTTCTTTGTTAGTAGAATTTCCCCAGAATATTACTCCGAATCTCAGTATCGAGCCAACAATACCATGGTAAGCAGTTATCAGCGCATGGGTACTAATGATAGGCTTTAATTTCTGAAGGGCATAAGCAGAAGAACACACTTTCTTATTCAGTTCTTCTGTGTGAGCTTTCCAGTTTAGACTTTTGTCAATAGTTATACCCAAGAATTTAGTTGTATCTATCTTACTTATAGCAATAGATTTATATTGAGCATTAATATTTGGTGCTTTTAAGCGTTGATTAAAGAACATAATTTTTGTTTTTTCAAGATTAATTTTTAAATTATTATTGTCTAACCAGTCGATTGTTGAACTTATAGTATTATTAATTTCATGTTCGTACATATCCCTCTCTATGGAATTAATAGTTACCGTACTGTCATCAGCAAACAGTGAGACTGGATATTGCGTTACCAATGGCAAGTCATTTATGTAGATTATAAACAACAGTGGACCCAAGACGCTCCCCTGTGGAACTCCGTATTTAACGACACGAGTTTTAGATGCATGTGTTGTCTCTTTTTTGGTAATGATGTTAATTTTATTTATTTCTGTATATTGTTTGCGGTTTTTTAGGTAAGACTCAATAAGATTTCGTACATTTCCTCTCACCCCATAAGCTTCCAGTTTACAGAGGAGAATGTCGTGATCAACGTAGTCGAACGCCTGGGTCATATCACAGAATATGGAGCAGACTGGCACTCTTTTATCCACACTACCCATAACATTTTTTAAGAAATCAAAGATAGCCATATTTATTGTTTTATTTTGACGGAAGCCTTTCTGGTGCTCTGTAAGAATGTTAAATTTCTCCATAGTTATATATTTGAGTATGTATGAACTTCTCAAAAATTTTTGAAATTACAGGAATAAGTGCAATTGGTCTGTAGCAGTTCATGCTATGTCTATCACCTTTTTTGAATATAGGTTTTATAATCGTTGTTTTTAGACTTTCTGGGTATGTTCCAGTGGTTATACACATATTAATAATATGACTCAGGTGATCACAGATATCATAAGCAACAAACTTAAGGATTTTAGTAGAAATTCCATCATAACCAACACTACCAGTATTCCTAAGCGATCGTATGATTTGAAGTATGTCGTATGGAGTACTTGGTGCCATGAATAAAGAATGGTTTGATTTAGAAATATTTACGGTTACGTTCCTGCCAGCATCCGGTATTGGTTTAATTTTGTCTATAAAGAAATTGTTAAAAGCATTTGACATTTCTCGCGGTTCAGTAATTGTTTTATGATTTGTATCTATAGATGTTATACTATTCTTTGGTAAATTTAGTTTAGATCGATTTATAATCGCCCACGTAGCTTTAGATTTATTAGCAGATAATTTTATTTTATGGTTATTTTGTGCTCGTTGTGTTAAATTAATTATATTCCTAAAAATCTTAGAGTATGTTTTAAATTTTATTTTATTTGTTTCATTACGATTTAGCCTCAAATTCCACAATAATTCTCTCTTTTTCCTGCTACAGGTTTTTATGCCACGCGATACCCACAAAGGTTTTACTTTAGTTCTTATTGCAACATATTTGAAAGAGAAACACAGATTATACAACATCATAAAAGACTCCAAAAACGCATCATACGCAGTACTTGGATTATTTGTATTATAGACCTCGGAAAAAGTTAAAGACTTTACGTAATTTTTAAATTTTTTCATATTATTTTTATTGTAATCTCTTCTAAGTGTTTTCCAATAGTTAATTAAAATATTTTTATTTATTGGTATTTTTAATACTTGCGCTGTGTGATCTGACAGGCCGAAGTCAATTACATCAGATTTACACTTTCTTCCAGCATTATGTGCAAAATTATCTATGCAAGTGCCACTCGCGAGTCGAGTTGGCTGATTTATTTCAAAATTTAGATTAAAACTTAAAAGTAAACATTCCAGGTCCATTAAGGTACCATTTCGTTTAAGACGGTCTATATTAAAGTCACCTGCAACTACGATACTTCTTCTCAAATTATTTTTACAGATTTTTGTCAATACTTTTTCTAGTTGCTCAAAAAACATAGTTAAGTTATTCGACTTAGGTACTCTGTATACACAAACGATAATCATATTATACATTGTTAAATCAATGGCGCAACATTCGAACACTCCATTTATGGAGAGTTTGGCAATATCATGCAGTTCCCTAAACTGGTGACCCTTTTTTGTAATAATACATGCACCACCCCTCTTACTGTCTTTTCGGGAGTAGCATGCCGCCAAGGTGTAGTTGCTGATGTACAGTAATTGTTCATGGCCGGCCATCATGAAGTGCTCAGATAGACATACTATGTCGACCTCGACGTTCCTGCCGGACAACTCTTCAAGACAGACAGTGAGCTCGCCGCTTTTATTTACTAAGCCTGCAATGTTCTGATGCATAATGTTTAGGTACTGATAATCGAAAGTACTGTAATTCCGGTTGCTGTTCATTCATATTATTGATGTTTCCGCTCTCAGTACTCTCAAGGGTATTTTCCCGTATGAAAGTCACAAGTGCAGCGATATCCTGAAAAATTACTTTCATACCGTAATTATTCACTGTTCCTGAATTTTGTTTGTACATCCTATGGTCCCACGTTAGGTTCTTATTACAGTCAATAAAATAGGCATGTTCGTGTGTTAAAATATCCTGATATAGTAGTTTATTAAACATTTCCACTCTCTTGTTGTACAGGGTGACATTATCAATGCATTGACTGTAGGTCGGCATGCAGAGGATAACATTTGTATGCTGAATGTTTTTAAGTACTGTCCTCATGTGAAGAATGATATTCGAATAATCCTTTGTCGATTCGAAGTCTGTTTCACCAATCAATATAATGCAGAAATCGCTCATCGTATATTTCCTCAGTTTTGACTCCAATCCACGAAACATATTTTTTATTCCTGAATATGGTGTAAGATAATGACATAATTCGTAGTCGTCAAATTTATTCTCTGCAATTGTACGTATTTTATTGTATTTATTCTCGCTTATAATGCAAATTTTACTAACTTTTCCCTCCATCTCTTGGCTATAGGTTTGTTTATATAGGATCGATGGGGATACCGTGGATTCTTGCTTCGGTGATCCTATAACGTCAGTAGAAATTGTTTGAGTGCCTTTATTTTTTTTCTCACTATCAGAAATGACTTGCTCATTTTGTATAGTCTTGCTAGTTAATAAATCAATTTTTTTTGGTGTAGAGGGTCTAGTTTTTCTTGTAGGAGTGCTGATAAGGGTTTTATAAAAGACGTTTTTCTTTTCTAACTCCTGATTAGACTGTTTAAGATTACTGTTTTCAAGTGAAAGTATCTCTATTTCTTCCTCAGCACTACATAATCGAAGCGTTAGTTTCTCAACTTGATCCCTTAATTTAGTTACCAATTCATTATCGAAATTGTCGTCAGTGATCCTTTCCGGGAGGCTAGTCGCGGTGTCGTCAAATATTTCGTCTTCAGATTGACTCTTATTTGTTGGTGAATCTGACATTGTGCGAGTTCGTGAACCTCGAACACGCATTGTTACGTTCTCCAGAATATTCATATTTTGTGTATTATTTTATTCAATATTACAATTTTCAACGATATTTCTTGTTATTTACATCAGATTTTGTATAGTTGTGTTACAACAATTTTATACCTCTAAACAAAGATACAAAAAGTTCATGCAGATAGTGGGATTCGAACTCGAGACGCGTGTCTCGTCAATCCGTCCCTAATCAAACAAGCTGTTTGAACAATTACTAATACTGTTGAAATAGTGACACTTATTCGTAATGTAGCTTTTGCGTTATTGAGGGTGGAAGTTAATTATTTAATCTTGAATGCACTTATTCAACAAGTTCATATTAGATCGATTTTATTATAGTCTGATCAAAGTGTACTTCACTATCTTTTAACACGTTATGATTTTATGAGTTTTACACAGATTTATTAATAAACACAGTATTTGTAATTACTTTTTAGATCACGTTTCAGCACTTGGTTGTTTTCGAAAGTCAATTTTATTTTTACACCTTATAGCTTCATAGATAATTGTTTGTAGGCTTGGATAACACTTTTTATAATATTACACGTTGTTCACTATGTATATGTGGATAGTTTAAGAAGTTTCACTGTATATATATATTTTTATGAAAATTTGTTTAGAGCTCAGTGTTATAGCGGCAAAGTGTTGCCAATTTCCACTTAAACTTAGTAGCAAAGAGATAGTCATTTATATTCTTTACCTGTTGACTACGTAAGTATCTTGGAAACGTGACGGAAGAATGAAAAATGGGAGGACAGGAAAATATATGATAGGAAACTTTTGCCCTCCTTTGTAAAATGACATTTGTGCTATTATGAAGAATTGTAAGGTTGTAAAGAAGTGTCGATAGAAATAACATCACGTGGCCAACACATAGCAAAGGTCCGAAGCCAGGACGTCAATCCCCTCTAACTTTTACGTATCTATTTTTGTGAAGGAATTTTAACTCTATTGTTTTGTTATAAAGTCGTAAATGTATTGAAGGTGAGTTTGAGTAGGTTGTGTGCTTTTGTTAGTACTTCTTAAGATTTTCTTTCACAACAGAAACTGGCGTGGGCGCTCGGCCGCGTGCCGAAGCTTAACATTAGAACAAAAGACAAAAGTTATGATTAGATGCTCACGAAAACTTCAGAAATGTACCTTAATTAGATTGCTATTGGAATTAATTTTGATAAAAGGCACAAACGGGTAAATACTTTTTTAAATTGTTGCGGAGTCCTATGTATTTAGAATTTTCAACACAATGTAGACTAAAGCAATTAGGTATATTTTAATACAATATAACTTGTAATAAATTAACATTGAATTCTTATTTGAGTTCCGTTTCTATTAAATTATTTTAGAACTTATATGACAGAAAATGATTGATAAAAATAAGGAGAAATACAATGTGACGACGTTGGAAGGAATTTGAACAGACACAAGACACATTAATCTTTTAAATAAACATTGGCTTGTAACAAATCTTGCTAAACTGAAAGAATAAAACCTGTCTATACTTGATAGTCTTTTTTGTTTAAACTCCATATGATAAGCTCCGTATAAAAGATAAAGATTCCTTACTTTTCTTTTATTTTTCTTTTATGACTGCCTCGTTGGCCGAGTGATCGCAAGTGCGACTGTGCGCAAATGGGTCTCGGGTTCGATTCCCGGGGCAGGCAAAGTATTACTGGGTTATTTAGAAAAAATCAATAGCAGCACGGAGTCTGGAATTGTGCCCGGTATATGGCAATACGCTCACCCTCTATTACATGGGACTCATAACATAAATAGTGAATAGTGGGTGTTATATTGTAGGTACCGGTGCATTAAGTGCCTTAAATGTGCACCTCTGCCTACCTCTTCGGGGATAAAAGGCGTGATGTTATATTATGTATCTTATTTTCTTTTCTAAAATATTCCACGTGTACTTTCGTGATAACTTATCCACTTACAAAAAGTTCTGGAACTCAATAATCGAATGGCGAAAGGCAAGCAATTGTTTGAAAATTTCATATAGAAAAACAAAGAAAGTCGTTTTATCTCTTCGTACCTATTTGATATTGTATTGAAATTTTCTTATTGATTTACACAGGATTGTATTACTTCTAAGAGACTTTCTGATGTAAAATCATGTTTTATTTCGTAAAGGTAGGTTCAGAAAAATTGACAAGATGACTGCGGGATACTTTCGATAAACTATTCATAATACCCTTGGTTATATGTACTTTCTAAGATTATTTAGACACCACTGACAAACGGTGAAGAAAAAACATCGTGAGGATACCTGGACTTATAATTTCTAATTATAAGTTTGAAATCGCCAACCCGCATTGAGCAAGCGTGGTGATAAATGCTCAAACCTTCTTCGTGTGAGAAGAGGCTTTGCTCATCAGTAGGCTGTTGATGATGAATACCCTTGGTATGGATAAATTTTGGAATTGATTTTAATCTGTCTTGTCTACTTAGGTGTGTAGGAATCGAAGTGTTGGAGGCATCTATTCAGCATTCAGCAGTTGTTTAATCAAATATTCTACAAAGAGCTACCAGAGTATTGATTGCACAAGCATTTTGTCAATAGGTACCTAATATATGATTGATATTGATATCTAATAAAAACATTCTTCATAATTTCGACTTCTTTGTAATATCATACGATGGCGGACTTAACTCGTTGAGTACCGTCATTATAGACACAATTAAAGAACAATAGGTCGCGGTCACCGGTGACCGCTTGGTGTTTGACAGTTTAATTAATGCTGGGTGGCATTCTCTAAGCGTCAACCACGGGGTGACGTAGAGATGTGTAACAGAAGGTGAAACAATTTTTCCCTAATAAAATTTCGCCTGCCTCGTTGGCCGAGTGGTTGCAAGTGCGACTGCCGGGCAAGGTGTTTCGGGTTCGATTCCTGAGTCGGGCATAGTATTACTGGGTAAAAATGTCAGTAGTAGCACGTAGTCTGGAAATATGTCAGATATATGGCAATAGGCTCACCCCGTATTACATGGGACTCATAAATAGTGAAAAGTGGGTGTTACATTGTACAGTGGCATTAAGTGCCGAAAAGTGCACCTCTGCCTACCGTGTCGGGGATAAAAAGCGTGATGTTATGTTGTGTAAAATTTCGTCTTGTTTCCAAGTGAAATGTTATAACAAATCCGTTTGTTGCGCACACCATAGCGTTCCACAATTCTATTATGCATTTATTATAAGGAAACATACATGTTTGAGGCTGTGTTACAAAATAATCTGTTGTCGGATGCTTCCGTCCAACGAGACGGAAAGTTTAAATGAACATTGTACACTCTGCCTTAATTAATTTTCGCGTTCAACTCAGTTACATACTGTAATTAGCGAATCTCCCAGTTTCATAACATCACACATTAAGTTTGTTGTCTCGGTATTTTGTTTGTTTCTAGAGGTATATGTTCGTTTTAAAATGGATAATGAAATGAATGTATTATTACGGCTATTAGACTTAGGTTTTTTTTATGGCATAAGTCGGTAAACGAGCAGACGTATCACCTGATGGAAAGCAATCGCCGTCTCTCATGGACACCTGGAACACCAGAGGCGTTCCAAGTGTGTTACCGGCCATTTGGAGATTAGGAGTTTGAGGATCGTTGGGGATTCAGGGATTGGGGAGATTGGGGAAGTTTAGGGTAATTGGGCCTCCGGTAACCTCACTCATACGACGAAACACAACGCAAGCGTTGCTTCACGTCGGTTTTCTGTGAGGCCGTGGTATCACTCCGGTCGAGCCGGCCCATTCGTGCCGAAGCATGGCTCTGCCACACTTAAAATCGACCGGTACCGTGAAAAGCTAGATAGTTATCGAATATAAGAGCTGCGCAAGTCGTGTATTTGAATATTGAGATTCAAAAGAGATCTACAGAAGATTGAATATAATTTTTGCCTGTATACGTTCTTTGCTTAACACACTAATCGATCCCAACATTTAATCCTCGTAATCCCACTTTCAACTACGATCAACACATCAACACTCTTCCCGGAAAATACTGAAAACTCGATCTTATTACAATGGTATAAGCTTGTAATCTGGTAAAAGCTTTACTAAGAGGATGAAAACTACTAAAGCTTTTTTCTTTGTGATATTAACACGATTACAGCGTGAAACGTCGTATGCTAAAGAAAATAGTAGACAAAAAAGGATTCATTAAATGCTCAATCAGTTTATATGTAATATATACATAATTTTCTTCTAGTGAGAGTGTTTTTATATTGCATAGTGTTATATTATTATTATATACTTCATGTTTCTTATATTGTTATTTACTTTTTGATCTTCATAAGTGTGGGAGAGCCATGTTTTGGCACGATAGGGCTAGTTCGACCAGAGTGATACCACGGCCTCACAGAAAACCGACGTGAAGCAACGCTTGCGTTGTGTTTCGTCGTTTGAGTGAGGTTACCGGAGGCTTAATTACCCTCCCCCTCCCCAATTCCTGAATCCCCAACGATCCTCAAACTCCTAATCCCCAAAAGGCCGGTAACGCACTTGTAACGCCTCTGGTGTTCCAGGTGTCCATGGGCGACGCCGATTGCTTACCATCAGGTGATCCGTCTGCTCGTTTACCGGCTTATGTCATAAAAAAAGGTGTGAAGTTATCATTTTATTTTATTTTATTTACTATTTTTCGGACAGGACATGAATCACGTAACTATATCAGTCCTAAGTTTTACTTTATCATTTAATTTTCTTAATCATCACCATTTATTACTAAATATCTATATCTACAAATATATCTTACCCAGCCACGATTACAATTTCATCACAGAAAAGCGCTTATATTTTCTGATCTCAATCGAGCTTAGATTTCCTTTCAGTACATTGCAACAACCGCTGTACCAAGAAAGAATTCTTTCATATCTCTCATCGCATTTTATTCCTTTTTATTTAAAAAATACACCAAACAAAATCGTGTCATTTGTGTTGGTTTTTCAAATAAATGTGGAGGAGGAAAATGTCGTGATTCCCGTCGAGTTATTC